ATAATTACACACATTTTGGTGTTGTGCCCTTGTCACCAATTTCTTATCAAAATTTCGAAAAACTCTGTTGCACAATCCTTGGAGTAAGATCTGTTTCGGAAAGTTTTACACCGTTTTTAAGCGTAATTGTTATAAAAATATTTGACCAATTTCAAAAACTGTGTACAACAAAGAGAAAAATAGACTTTGATCTAACTAGAAATCACAATTTTTGTTACTAGTTATTGACTATAAAAATAAAGACAACTCAAAATACACCACAAATCTTACATTAGTAGACAAACTAATGATGGGTTTCTGCTTAGTAATTGACGATGAGTTTGACCTTAAGTTTGATTTTTACATTTATCGTGACTGCAATTTCAATTTTCTGACAAAAATTGGCATGCCTAAAAAGCTGAATGTAAATATCAAATACTGTGCGATTTTTTAAATTGCTGATTTATTTTGGACTACCCATCACACCACCAAACTACATAGATCGTCTTTAAAAACAACCTAAATTGTGTTTTTTTCTCATGTTCTGTGACAAGTTACAAGCTACTTTTCGGCCGACTTCGTTCTGCCAACAAATTTTTGAGTGATTAGATCACAAATTAAAAAATCACCGTATACTCGTAACTCCTACGAATAGTCATTTATACAACAAGCAAAAGAACTGATACTTTGAGGCAAATGAATTAAATTTTTGAGGATGTGTAGCCGGGTACTTAGGAAAAATGGTAATTACTCGTATACAAAACTTTGAACAAATTTAAAGATCGACAGGAAGATACCAAATATGTTTTTAAATAGAATGCATACTACAAATTTTTATATGGCATTAATATTTATTCTCCTAATTTTTATTTAGGAAAGATAAAAACATGCAGAACTTTCTGGAACAATTCTTAATGTCTAAATTTGTTGTTCCAAACTTTATTAAATTTTACTGCATTTATTGGGTAACGTTAACAGTGACGATAACTTATCGAATCAGCCCGAAAAAACATCTCGTGGTAGAGTGGCAAGCAGAAAGCAGAACGAAAGGTGACATAGGCGGAGCTGCAGATGCGCGCCTATCCCTAGCCAGTGGCGTAACTGACTTATCATAAAAGGTCCATAAAGTAATAAATGTTCTGAGGACCTTATTAAACAAAATTCTTAATTCTAATAAATACAAAGTGGCAAAATAAATAATAATAACTTAAAAAAATAAGACACACAAAACGCTGACACCATACACACGAATACAGTACCAAAGTAAGATAAATTAACGGCGCTACTGCCTTATGTTTCCATCCCCCGAGAACTATAAATAGACTCGACCAACGGAACTTGTTTTACTGCGCAAGCCACGTGATGGCCCTTTTCGTTTTGATTGTCACTCTATATACATATATTTCTAATTTTATTTATTTATGAATATTTTAAGAAAAAACTATATTTACAGTAAGTAAATAAAACCAATAGTCTTCAGGCTAACGATAAAGTACGTTTAAATTTGAAAGTAAACAGTTTGGCAGTTACAGGCATCATGTGTTTATAATAATTTTCTATTAGGCTGACCATAAAAGGCGAAGAAACGGAAATGCAGAACGTACATTTGGGTCAAAAGACTTAGTTACTGCTTAGTCACGGATGCAGAGAGCATCCTTTAAAATACAGTTAAAGTCTATGCATATTTTTTGATAAAGCATCTTTATTTTTTTTTGTTTTTTAGATAATATCATTAACTTCGTAGCGAGGATACATGAATTCATTTGATATAATATTGTGTACTCCTTAAAACAATATTTTAGTATTACTTAAAAAAAACATTGTAACTGAAGGTAAAAATAAGAGTTGATGGGAACTATGGATAAATGAGTATATTAATTGTACATTTGAACTGAAAAATTATTATTAGTAAATTACTTTTACATTTTGTCATCAATTGGTTAGAAGGCATGAACGTATTTTGGTTAGTTTTTACGATTTTCACTGGAGTCTTCAGTCTAGAATCTCATAAATCGTCTACTTCTAAAAATGCCAAGAAAGAACGGACAGAACGCGATGATAGAAAGATGGAAACGGAAAACTTCTATTTTCACTTTAAGAATAAAATTGTTGAGGAATATTTTTTCTAATATTTAATTTCCCTCTATGAGAAATTAAACAATGAATATTAATTGTCGTTCTTAAGCGGTGTAGGAAGTTATGTTCACATAATTTTATACCAATCTTTATATTGGTTGTGATTTATTCAGTTAATTATGTTAAAGTTTCGTTGCTAAAAATTCAACCGTTTCATTTATAGGTACGACTAAAGCTTAAAAGTACAAATGTATGCAATCACGTAAACAAACACTTACATATACATTTCTAATCCTTTACAAAATTAAATATGACTAAAAAGCCTGCTTCTTTAATTTGCTGCTTTTACATAATTTGACAATGATGTTAAACTCCTGAGAAAATTGTAATGCATATTTCATATCGTTAGAATAAAAGGAAAACCTCACTCATGTCTCACGCTTCAGCACCTTCTTATTTTCATCAAGTTAGCACCCATATCCCCAAATTACGTATCATATTTGTTTTTGACAGCTAGGTATCTACATTCTACATGTGTGGTAATATTTAAACATATAGAGAACTTAACACGTATTTCCTCGCATAGCTCGAGTTAGATCTCAAATTACAACACCGGACAAGTTCTTTCAGTATTGTTACAATTTCTTTGTATTTCTCCATTACCTCAAGAATTTACTTACATTTGAAAGATGTGCATTGGAATATTTGATATTTGTAGCCGACCACTCGAAAATAATTTTTTCTGTCCAATGAAGAAATAACACATCAATTAGCTTACGTGATGATGCACATTTCTTGTAACAACCGCACGTTTTCCCCATTAAAAAAAATAAGGTTCTAGTATATCGTTTGTTTCACAATCTGTTAATATTGAAAACATTTCATGTACACATTTTAAAATGTGATTTACTTGCTTCCATTCTTCCTTAAATTAGTTTGTTGTAAATTTTGACATGTAAAATGTAATACAACAACTAAATGTAACAAAATCCTCAAAATTTCAGAAACGTTGTGTGGAATCATTCTAGATAAACGATAAAATTCGAAAGTTCTTTACACGTAACTCTCTCCCTTGCTCTTGAAACATAGCAAAATCTGCAGGTCAATGTAGTCTTGGGACAAGGTTTAGTTATTAATTCTTCATAAGGATAAACATTATAATTTTAATTGTCGTGTTTTCTTCCTCGAGAGTTTTTTCCATTTTTGCATATTTAATTGTGTAATCTTCGTTGATCATTCGAGGATGATCTAAAAACAAATGAGTATGACCCAGGACGAACTAGCACGAAAATGATTTGCAGTGTTTGAAGATCCTATTGAGGTAAATGTAATTTTAGTGAATATCTGTAAAGACAATGAAAAACTGGCCAATTGACTGAAAAATCTTACTAATTACGGATGAACTATTTATTCTGTAAATAATTCGCTAACGTAGATTTTGTAAGAAATCTATGGTGCTATAAACTGAAAGAGTTCACATGTTACCCATTACTTCAGAATTTTATATAGCGCATTTAAAAACATTGTCTCAATCAAGCAACACTTTAAGTTTTGAAAAGATTCATCATTCAGTACGAAATTCGGTCTTCTGTGTTCGTTCGTGTGTGTCTTATTATTAAAATTAATTATTAAATAAATATTAATGAAAAAATATGCTTGGAATTGGTGTTTTTATTTATTTTATTATTCAAACTTGCAGTATTCTCAAATACATAGAATCCATCCAATTTTTCTGGTTTTCAAAAATTATCCATTCATTTTTTTTTAACTTTGTATGAGAGAGTAATTTTATTACACTTTATTCAGTTAATTTCCAAATGAAAAATTACTAAATAAATTGTTTTTGAAAAATACGGTCTAACACGTGTAGAGAATTGGATGTGCATCAAGGAAAAAGTTCTGTCTAAATAACTTTAGACTAATTTTTGGTGACAGTTGGTTCCTCATATTCTTTTAACGTATTTCATTGTAAAAGTACTAAAAAATATGGAAAACCAACACTGCCAAAATAAAGAGCATTTTTGTGAATTTAGTTGCGTTAGTGTTAAATGGAAATAATTAGTCCAAATTAAAATGGTCCTTCGATAGTTCAGCCCACAATCGTATGTTGAGAGCAAACATTGTCCGTAGCTTTGTATCTCGATTAATAATTATTTATTAACTTGTTTTTTTTGTATCAGAATCCAAGAGGTTGTGTCCTAATTAATTATCATCCCTGAAATTAGTGGCATGTCTTATAATGTCAAAAAATACCTACATTTGAAAAAGACAGAAATTTAAGACAGGCTTAATTTCTGTGAGGTACTAGATACTTTGTAGGCATTGACTAATCCATTTGTTAAAATAATACTCCTACGTCATATGTAAAAATGGGTAAATCCGTGTGTCTTGGCTATATATAGTTACAAAACGTCAAAAATATTTCCCAAAAAATATTTACTATTGTAAGTATGTTCACCATTGCATGTCTGAATATAACAATTGGTCTTAAATCCGAGTGCCATTGAGTAAACTATAGGTAAAATGTGTACGTAGAATAAAAATAATAAAGTTACGCGCCTAGATTTGAAATACTTTTTTGAGAAATTACGCGTCAAGTTTTGTGCATTTCACACTAAACAAATTTGCATGTACAAGTTTTTTTCAAATAAACTAAATTAAGAATGAGGATGATGTTTCGTCAATGTCATTCGCAAGTCTCAAAATATCTACACTTTAAACAACGCCTATCATCACATCTACCACAGTTTCCTCTATCGGTGAAAATGAGGCGCGCTATTTTAAGTTATCGTCATTTTGAATGATTTTAAACTTCCAATACTCAAACAATTTTATGTGCTGGTAGCTTTCTACAAAACGTTTGTATCGTCATCCCCCATTCTTAACGATTTTCAATCATGTTGATTCCTAGTAGTTCGTAATCAAATAGTCCATCCCACACTCACCAATTTTAGCCAAGCTGGCACAAAATATCCACAGTCCTATGATAAATGGTGTTTCGACTGTTGAAAATGAGACAGATATTACTGGATAGCGCTCAACTTCTTTCTCTTTCGGTTGTGGTGAAAAAAAAGCCGTCGACGTGGACGTCATCGTTTCTTCCGAAACGGCTTTTCCTTTTGGACTAGGCGTTGTGCCCACATAAAGACTATTTATGTCGCGAGTGTTGACGGCACCACGATTGACAGGGGGGTGCACGGCCGTGTCGGAGGCATGGTCCGGCGGTTTGGGAAGCGCCATGGAGGCCCCAAGAACCCATAGCAGTAGCAGACCAGCCGTGCACGCCCGACGCGAAAGATTCACACCGTGTTCAAGTGAATACATCACATATGTTTTAGGATCGCGGGAGGACTGCCATGAGGGCAGCCGGTTGCAGGCACCGTGCACCTGCCGAGACTGGGCGTCAGACCCCAGCTGATGGCAGCGTCGCGGCGCCTGGAGTTGCGCACAAACCGAGCGCTGGAAATTCGCTCGATGTGTTGTTTGGATTTGGCGGTGCCACTTATAGGAGATATTTTCGAGTCGCAGATATGGTAAACAAATGAAATGAAAAGTTTGTTTGCATGAGGTGATAACCAAACATGGCTTATCTTTGTTGGATGATATAGGTATACTGCGTGAAAAACTGTGAAAAAATGTGACAAACAACTTAAAGACAAAACACCAAACACATTTGCTGCACGAAATAATAACGTCAACCCGTTTCTCCACTGATATTAACATCTTGTGGACAAACTAAGACAAAGATCTAACGATAGAACTGAGTCGGACGTCTCATCTTAATTTTTTGCAACGGAAAACAACTAAATACTTAAAACCAACATCCACAATTCCTTAATGGCCAAGAAGTAGAAAAATTTACTGCTATTAAGGGTATTCTTTAATTTTAAATAATTCTCATCAGTTTTCTGATTATCCTCAAAAATATGCTGGACAGCAGTTGCTGACTTCAAACCTAGATATGTAATGTGCTGTTTGAATCGTATAATGATATGGTTAAGGTCTTTCTTGAATGTTGTTTCCAATAAATCCAAAAACAAGGAACGCTGTTGCTAAAATTAAATAGGCCTTTTAAATGACAAAACCAATCCAATATCTAGAAAAAGTGCATTTTTTTTAACGAAAAGTTATGTAAAGCATGTCTAATAAGTAACCGGACTAAACAAAAAAAAATGATATTTTGAACTAAGAACAGCAATAATAATAAAAACAATTTTAGTGCGGGATTTTTATTGAAAGAAAGGACATTTTACAATAGCGAACTAAACATCAACACCAAATTTTACGAAGTATTTTATTTAGCATTTTAGTACCGTGCGTTATTAATCATCGTCCTAGTCCTTCATTTTACCTCAACAACAAATTCTTCATATCCGCTTGAAACCGTTGATGTTTCTTCACATAATCTGACGTATTCTTACGCATTTTAAATCAGCTCTACGAAGTCTACCCAAGATGGGGTACCACACAAATGTATCGCCTGTTGTACAAAAATATGACTGAAAAAAGGAAATGGACACATACTTATATACAAGGTTTCTTTTATGTGGATGCCAAGCTCTAAAAGAACACAATCTCCCCTCGTCTCCCATTGGGGTAACGCTAACTCAGCACTATCAATACTATCATACACTTTCCCAAGGACCAGACCTTTAAGGACATCTTCCCTCTGACGACCAGTAGTGGGAACGGTGCCACTCCACATCTGATCTTGGGCCCGTTAAAAGAGCCTCGGTAGCTTCTAATAACAACGGTGGCGTGGTAATCGCGATGGTAACCATCTTTCCGTTTTCCCCGAGTCCTCAAAGGTTCTCCGGTGAGGGTGAGATACAAGTATCTCCCCGCCCTCACAACCCCTTGGTTTCCTCGTACTCATTAATGCCTCCTGGTTATCGCCAGCCAAGTACCAATTGCAGGAGAAGCGTAAGGTGCCAAATTTTGCATATCTTGGATTAGGAACTGAAAACTTTAATGGGCCTCTGCTAGAGGCCCAGTTTATGAAGACAGCTTACTCCAACTAACAGGTGGGATTGACACAGAGCAAAAGAGGCTATGTTTTCGCCTCATTGACAAAAGAGAGTTATGTCCTACGCGTAGTTGAAATACAGGATCATACGGTATCTGTCACGTCACCCGGTTCCAAAGACGCCAAGTCACAGTTAAAGAACACGAGGCGTAATCCAATTGATAGCTGACGTTGACAAAAATATCCTTTGTTGGACCGTAAGCTAACTAATCCAGTACTACGTACGGATCAAGGTTAACATCAGTGTTATTGTGATATCTTCTTTTATTAAGACATTAAACTGAAATAACAGATAAACTTACATGTTTTACTTGATAGAGATAGAAAATTTTGTTGCAGTTTGCAAATAAAATAGTCACGCGATGGCAAAGATAAAAAAATCAGACTTTATATTAAATTTGTTGTTTACAATCATCGTTAAGTGACTATTAATAAATGTCCAAGATTTGCGAGTAAATCAAAAAACTTATTACTCTAACTGTTGTGGCCTGTATTGTTCAGCTACAGTTTTATTTATAACAGATTTGTGTATTTGAATACTTTATAGAATGGTCTGACATGAATTCAACTGGATTAACTTTATTAAAATCATATTAAAATTAACATTGATATTCGAAAACATGTTGTCTAAATAGTTGTTTTTCCTAGTAGGAAAAAATTGGTCGAAAATTATTTCGATAAAACTTCCCTCGCCCCAGAAAATGCAAGTATTTAAAGTCGGGGCCATTAGTATAAAACCACTCCCTAGTGTAAATTTTCAAAATTTGTTGAGTGTAAGTTGAATTAATGGGTTTTGGTGAGATTTTTGGGGGAAATCTTCTGTTAGGTTATGATGCTGTCAATAATTTGTCAAATAGGGACTTGTAACACAGTAAAATGATAAAGAGTATCCAAATATCTGTTGATCAGCACAGGTGGTTACCACTTACGTAGATACAAAATTACCGAGGACTTCTGTATAAAAACAAGGAAACAGTCAAAAAGTTGAATAAATTAACGTATGTAAGTATGCCAAGAACTTTGAGAAACGTACCCAAATCCAATTTCTACGATATTCATGTTGAGTTAATAGTGACTGGAAAATACTTGTATATTATAGGCCAAGGTAGTGAAGTAAACAGTATATATGTCTCCTATCTATGGTGAAGATAATCATTATATAGACTGAACGCAGATTAGAGCACGAGACGTGAAGCGTCAAGGATTATTGTAAGCGTGAGGTCTATATATCTTCACTACCGTGGCGTAGGTATATGCTATTTTTTTTCACTAGTAGCGCACTACAAAACACATTTGAAAAAATTTCGATTTATTAAAAGGAACATAACATCACTAACATCACCTAACTAGGTTTTGATATTTTCCGTCATTATTTTTCGACGTTTGAAAAGTTTTGGTTTCATGTTGGTTTGTAGATGATGAGGTTTGTAAATTCAAATTGTCAATTAATTTGTTATTTTTTTAGGAAATATATCAAGCTGTGAACTATGTACCCCTCTAGAGATACTGTTCCTCGTGAAAATGATTTAAAAAATCTGGTAATAATCGCCAATTTTCGTTTGTTAAGGCGTTACATAACCTCAATTTTTATTATAGACCGTTAAAATAGAATGGTTATTGACCCTCGGTGAACATTAACTTCACTTCCATTAGCCAAATTTAATTACCATTATGGAGAAAAATGAATTTATTACTCACAGACAAAGCATGATAGTGGTGCATCTCTACGCTACTAGTGAAAAAAAATAATTATACGCTTGTAGGTGCGTAGGTATTTCGATTCAGGTCAGACAACAAACAATACTCAATTCCCACCATATAGCAAATAAAGGAAATTTACTTGTATATCCTGCCACGCTGACTGTTTAAATTTAAGATGGTTTTCTTTACTTGATGAAAAAAGTGTTCGAGTGACAAAACGTGGCAAACCAATTTTTCTGTACTTTTTGTACTTATGGATTTTCCAAATGGTAAAATTTTATGCATATCTGATAACTAGTCATCATTAGTTTTTTTTTAGTCTCAAAAGTTTGAATGCTTCGAAAAAGAGCATTAAAAATGCTTGCAGTTAAATATTTATTTGCAAACACAACTGCTAAATCTGTTTACAATTACTAAAAAATGTTTCGACTTCAAATAGGACAGCTACATGGAAAAGAAGACAGTGAAACTCATACATAGAAAAATGCCCCATGGAAACTAAAATTCAAAATTTGTAGTACACACTTGAATATAGCTGTGGTTAAATCAAAAACTTTGTTTCAGAGGACAGGTGTGTGTAAGACATCGTTCTTTGAATTGCTTAATTATGCTTCATAGTATATGATTTGTACAGCAAAAGGTTTTTATTACAAAATCTCAAACACACGAAACAGCAATACAGTTTTATGAGGGAAAAATACAAAATTGTGAGTAGTTTTGAGAGTCAAGGCTCTATTTACATTATGCATTTTAGGCAGATGCTTATAATAAGATAAGTGACTTCATAACTTCCACTTGACAGTAGAATTAGAACAGATCCAATATAATACAATGCAGGCATAAGATGTGCATGTCCATGCAAATGAACATTTAAAAACAAATTGAAAGAGAAATAATAAGAAAGGTGGACTCATAACTTAAGAGCAGCGTTTGAACAAATTTAATATTATTACAATGAACTTAATACTGTGTATATTTTATGCAGATAAGAATACAAAAGACAGAAATGAGATGGGTGAACTTATAACTACACCAGTGTTATTGGAACAAATTTATTATAGCAATATAATAAAAACCTACTGTGGGATATTCATGCAGAGAAACAAGAAAGGACTAGTGAAATCTAGTTTATCATTCTCTGTGATTACTTTAAAACGTAAAAAAAAACAATACAATACAGTGCAATTGTATAGAGATTAATAAATTTCCCGTTCTATGTAGATTAAAAACAGTTAATCAACAAATTCTACTGTAAGAAGCTCCACATCACTCTGATTTTCAGATTCTGTTGTTTCTAACAAACAAATCATTTGCTCATCCTTGCATACCATTTTTCTTTCATCTTCTTCTTCACTACATTCAAGCAGATTCTCATCCTCCAAGGAAATATCGTCTGCAGATTCTGATCTAAAGCTTATAATTGATTCATCATCAGAATCTGCGAGTGATATAATTATCGGTGGTATATCTTGCACGCTTTCATTCCCCATCAATCGCACCCAGTCTTCCTTAATTATTTGTTCACAATGTTTAACACTATTTAGCCACATTTCCGGAGTATATTTAGACAGTGCTTTTTTCCATAAATTAGCAACTTTTAATTTTCCTGAAGGCTGTTCAAGAATATGCTTGTTGTAATATTGTTTACAAAAACCCCATACCATTTCAATGGGGTTGTACTGACAATGGTATGGGGGAAGTCGTAATACTTGTATGCCATTTTTGGATAGCAACTCGTCAATTAAGTACTTTTTTCGGGAAAGAATATTGGGTTTTATTATTTCATACAATTGCTTTTTCGTTAAATTACTATCAAAGGGAATTTCGTTTTGATGCAACCAAAGTTGTAATTTTGACTTTTTCCAAGAAAAATTGGGGAGCTGTTCAGCATGGACTGAATGATACGGCGCGTTATCCATAATAACAACCACTTTGCCGCTCATCTGTTTGACATTTGGAATTAGTTGTTGCTCAGTCCATTGCTTAAACAGGTCCCCAGTCATCGTCTTGTGATAATCTCTACTATCTACTTTGCTATCCAAAAATAAATCGCATCCTTCGAGAAAACCAAATTTGCCCCCGGCGTGAAGTATTGTGAATCGCTTTCCTTCATTCATGCAAACTTTCTCTGGCATACCCCTTCTATCACCTTCAAACACCCACCTTCTTACAGCAGAACCATGTTCATAGATCCACGTTTCATCGAGAAAAACGAACGTTACATTCTGATCTACCAGTTGCAAATATTGCCTTAAAAATTTAATTTTTTGAGATTGAAGTCTAGGTCCCTCAATTAAAATTTTTCGGTTATTCACTTTCTTGTACCTGTACCCCATTGATTTTAAAATGCGTTTCAGTGTTGTTAAACTCGCTGTGTATTCTAATTCAGTTCTTGCAAATTGAAATAAATCCCTTGCGGTGAAATATTCATTCTTTTTATTTCTTTGGTAGACCTGTAGGCTCAGTTCTTCTTTAAATAGGAAATCAGTGTGAAATCGACATCTTGGTTTTCTGCCCGTTTGGGGATCAAGAATAGGAACGCCGGCATTATTTTGGGAAATTATGGTTCGGATCTGACTTCTTGAGCACTATAAAGGATAAGGAAATAATGAGAAATTAACGGTTGTGATTGTCGGGTACATAGGACAGAATATCTGAAAGCCGCTGCTTATTCAAAAGGAGTACTGTACCGAAAATATGGTTGCGACTTTCTCTTCCAATTGTCGAATTGACAAAGTGGGACCGAGCTCGCCAATTTCTCGGTAACACTTTGCCACAGCAGTCTTCATTTTTTGCGACAGCAAAGTTCTTTTATGTCGGGAAGGCATAATATAGCTCTAAAAAAGCACGACTCGAACTTTTCGAAAATTATTGTTGCGCCTGTCAACTAGCTGTTAACGCGAAGCGTCATGCGCGCTGTCGTTACCAACCGCATTGATCATAAAATACTAAACGGCAGTGCTGCCAACTTTACTTTTTATCAGATGGTTTTATAGTAACGGTCCCGACTGTAATTAAAAAATCACTCGCAGTAGACGTTGGAATTTCATTTGACACAAAAGATATGTCTACTCCCATAACATCCATTTGGCAGAAACATAACCCTACATTTTAAAACAAATATAATTTCTGTCACATATCCAACCATTGCAATGGTCGACAGAAACTGTGTGTATAACTTCATATTTTAAAATAAATCATTGAATCCAACTACTCCTATTTTTTTTTTCGAACACCAGTGTTAAATCCATTTGTACCATGGCAGACCCATGGTACAAGAAGACATGGTATAATATTGCGCATTTTGTGTGACGTCATGTGGCTGTAATGACCGCCAACTTTAAATTGCTCGTATTACCACACTCAACCAACGATGCCAAATTTTGAACACGTGTTATTAGCATCTGATTTCAACTTAGCACCTTCGGAGATAATAAGATTAACCTATGATTAGAACTTGAAACGAATTTCAACCTCTGTTATAACCTTACACTATCACTGATAAATTGACATTTGACAGCTTTCGAAGAAGAGTGACGTCACCTGGCTGGTGTGCAAAGCAGACGAAAATTAATCCACCGGAGTAGCATATCGTGTCTTCTTGTACCATGGTCAGACCATTCTATAAATTCAAATACATAAATCTGTTATACGTATATAGGTAAAACTGTAGCTGAACGACAATGTAATACTAATGGTAACAGTATCTATATATTCCCAAATTTTCGGGAAAGTGGAGTGAGCCGTTGCTGATTTTATCAATAATATAAATTAGCTCATTCATACATACACTTTGTCACCCATTTCAAAAACTTTTCATGCAATGATAAATCATAAGTATATATTCATGATATTTTGCACATTTTGGACAGTATTTATTCGACAAAATTTGAAGATGGCGTCATTAATTTTTTGGGGGAGGACAAACAGATATTATTTGATTAAAAATTTAATACGCTTGCAATAACTTTAAAACGTTTGCAAAATTTCAGAGCATTCGGTTTTGCAGTTTCAAAATTAAATTGCAAAATATTATTAAACAATTTTTTTTTTTCAAAAATCTGTTGAGTCCAGCGAATGTTAAGAGGAGTCACATAACTTGCGCTAGGAATAGTTTATACATAATCGCTGCAATACTTAGTCGTGTATATTCGAGTTAATAAGAAATAAATTGTTGAGTTTTACCCACGCCAATTTCAATCACTTGTTCAACGTAACACTGGTATCGAAAGTGAGATCTGAAATTAATAACCGGTTTTACGACGACATCCGGGCAGATCGGACAAGAACTCTAAAGAATTTATGCCTATCGAGACTAGGGCTCAACCCGCGAAAATGGAGGAAAAGATCATGGCTATGCTTGCAAAAATGGATGAGAAAATGGACGCGGAAATGGAAAAAATGGACGCAAGAAACAAACAAATGAAAGAAGAAATGGGCGCAAGAATGGATAGAATGGACGAGAAAATGGACGCAAGAAATAAAGAAATGGATGAAAAAAAATGGACGCAAGATATAAAGAAATTGATGAAAAAATGAGCGCAAGAATAGAAGAAATGAACGAAAAGATGGACGCAAGAGAGGAGAAGAAAATGAATGCAACAATAGAGGAAGTGAACGGAAAAATGGAAGTGCATATGGGCCATCGAAACCTTTCTGGTCATATGCCTGTGATGATTCATCGAAGACGAACGCGGCGTTCGCTTAAAGACAAGTCTGGAGTCGGCTACCGGAAGTCTCGATTGCGGGGTCTAGAAAAAACCTAGAAGCGGTGTTCGGGATTCATCTAGAGAAATCCAGGGATTTAAGTAGAAGCCACCGTCGGGAACGATTCATTCAGTCGAACCACGAGTCCAGCGAATATTAAGAAAGTCAGATAAGTTGCGCCGGAAATAGTTTGTATATAATCTCTGCAATACTTAGTCGTGTATATTCGAGTTAGTAAGAAATAAATTGTTGAGTTTTGCCCACGCCAATTTCAATCACCCGTTTATATTTATTTTAAAATCAAGCATGTGACATCGGTTGATAAATCTATCTAAACCGTTTTATAATTTTATACAGTTTGACGTACTCCTAATCCCATAAAATAACTTAGGGTCGTTGGCATAGGCACAGACCAAAAAATGGCAATCCTTATATGTATACTTTACATCATTGGTAAATAAAACAAAAAAAATGGGGCCCAGTTGGGGCTCTTGCGACACTTCTGATGACCTTGTGTTTGCGACCATTAAAATATTATTAGATCCTGGACTGAGTTAATTAAATTAAGTTCCTCTACATGTACTCGATCGAAGACTTTTTTTTAAATCGGAGTATACAGAGTCGATAGCCTTGTTCTATATTCTAAGATAGGTATGATAAGAACTCATGCAAATTAGTATTGGTAAATATTTTTTTGTTACCATTGTACCATTTTTATTATATTGGAATTACGTGGGAAAATTTTCAGATTTTAGAGATTTTGTAAATTTATACCTTTTAATGGGTAAGATAATGGCAGGGCGCAGAGTTTCAAAAATGCAAAAGGGAGAGCGTCAGGTCCTAATTTAAATAAGTGTAGAGAGAGATTTTTCAATGCTCTCGACTATGATCTCAAAATATACAGTGTTTATAAGGTGTCAGTTGTAAAGGTATTTCCATTAAGGACGTTACAATTATGATGTACATTAATTCAAAATAATCTGCAAATGCAATGCATATATCTGATGGGGTGAGATTTTGTTTCTATAACGATAAAATATCGGTACCGATAAAATGTGGTCGTATTATTCTTTCGCATCTGAAATTTATATTTTCATCCTTGTCATTTATCGCTTCGTTATCGCTTCGTATCGTATCGATAGAAACAATATCCCACCCCTGGAGTAGATACTGGTAAACTTCTTATCGCCTAATCGCACTTTTTACTTTCTGAGCGCAAGCTAAGGGAGTATAGTAATTTAGGAATAGCATTTGATGCTTTTCGTGATCTGACATAGCTCCAAAAGGATTTAACACTATCTCTTATGTTATTTTCTACTTCGTCAGCAGATCTTTTTTACATTCCAGGGTTGCGTTCTTATACTAAGATCACTTTAAAAACATACTAATAAAATTTTATGACATAATTAGGATTATTTGGTTGACAATGCCGAGTCGGCTTTTCTCAGTAGGGTCCATAGAAATAATATTATATGGAAGTAACTTAGAGAGAGACTCGCGTTGTCAACACAGTGAGACAGGCGTAGGGCTCTCTGGGTGGCAAAACATTGACGCGAAACTACAGAGCACTGTGTTTCTGAAGGTTTCTTTCGTGCTGTCGCATGGTGTTTGAAGGTGTATTTTTGCAAATTTACGTTTTTTTAGGCTCAAGTTACCTTATTTAAATATCTACAGTCTTCTTGAGTTGTATTTTATTGGACTATTTGTTAAACATCGTGAAATCGTGTTGTGCGTATAATTGCATAGAACGTGCAAAGAAAGCAATCCTGTTTCATTTCATAGGTAATAATCACATACACAGACGAAGGATTTCGTAAATAATTTAAAAAAATTGTTAGATTCCCTAAACATTCCGAGTTACGAAAACAACAGATTATTGCTACAAAAAGAGGGAATTTTATATTTATTGATTATTGTTTTAGTTATTTGTACGTAGATTTAGAAAATAGATTTTTGTAGAAAATTCCACACAATTTAATATGTTTAATTTAATTAGGCACCCTGTGACTTTTATCGAAAGTTTAATTACTTTTATTTTCAAACGTCATATAACTGACACTTATATGACGCTCTTACGGGGGTTTAAGTGTCATTTCTCTGACACCGTGTTTGAGCGGCGTATAAGTACTGCTTATACTCCGCCGGCGTATAAATAAAGCATTTATACTCCGCCGGAGCATAAATATGTGAAAATCATAGTGGTTGTCAACCATAGTAACCATGGTAAGTGAAATCAAGGCAATTCCTTAATGAAGCAAGAAGATGGGAAATAATCATTTCAAAAGAAGATTAATCGTTTGAAAATAAAATATTGTATTTCATTCGGAGTTTAAATGACTTTATGTGACTCGTATGGACTTAATTCGCCTCGCTATTGCTCGGCGTTTAATCGTCCATACTCCGTCACATAAAGTATCACTTAAACTCCTAATAAAATAAATATCTATTATCCTAAAAATTTCAGAATTACCAATGAACATACACTACAAGATTAGTTAACTTGTAGAAGATTATTGTACTAACTGAATTCGTAATATATTGTAGATTCTGTATACATTTCATTTTATTAAAAGACTATCTCCACCACTTAACACGATTTTTGTTGTTTCACATTACACATAATTTTAATATAAACTGTAAAAGTATAGTTTTCATTAACAGACGTTTGTTATAATTGATTGTTTGAACAAATTCGTAAGAAAACGTATTAA